TCCCTTGCCTGGCCCGCTTTGGGTCCAGAGGCGTGCCTGAAGACCCCGGCGTGTGCACCAAAAGTCACCTCTTCTCCTGACTTTCTCCTCAGCCATTGGGACCGAGAGAGACAGAGGTGGAGATGCCCACCTTTCCTGAAGGTAGGCGCAAAAACAAAGGAGGGAGCGGAGGTGGGAGATACCTCCAGCTGGAGGGGCTCTCTCTCTCTCTCTCTTGGTCCCAATGGCTGAAGAGAAAGTCAGGAGAAGAGGTGACTTTTGGTGCACACGCTGGGGTCTTCAGACACGCCTCCGGACCCGAAGCGGGCCAGGCGTGGCGGCTCCGCCCCTTGGCCCACCCGCGGATTGGGGAGAAGAAAGGAGGCGGGTGGATTGGGAAAGGGAGCCGGTCATGGGGAAGGGATTGAACGCGGAGAAGGATTGAGTGCCGGCTCTGCTCGCGCACCTGGTGGCCGAGTGGAGCAGGAACAAGAGGGGCTAGGCGAGGCTCAAGGGCCCGGTCCCTTTGGGAAGGGGATCACCCAGCAGTGAGGCAAGAAAGCCGAGGCTCCCCCCGGACTGCTAGGGCTGTTGTGAGCTGAGGGGGCGCTCCTCAAGTGGCATTTACAGAGGAGCCTCTGCGCCCCTGGCAAAAAAAGTGTTCTGCGACTGCTTACTTCGCGTAATGGATGAGCCGCCCCTGCCCTGGATGAAGGATCGCAAGAGGTCATCAACTCTCTCTCTCTCGTCTTGAGGAGCCTGCCTTTTCCAGAGCCCTGATCCCCAAGAAGGAAGGAACAAATAAAAAGAGGAAGAAAGTCAAAAATGGGAAAGAGGAAGGAAAGAAACAAGGGAGTGAGGGAGGCCTGGAAAGAGAGAGCTGGTTGAAATCTGAAGAGGGGCCGCAATTGGCCTTCGGGCCGGACTTTGGACATGCTTGATCTACAGTATAGATGCATCCTTACTGTATTTTTTACATTCTGAGATGGGGAGAGACCAGCGTGTTGGGGGATTCTGGGAATTTTCTAAGCCATGGGAAAGGTATATTTCCACCTGGTTGGGTAATTTTATATGCTTTGTGCTGCAGAGTGAAATAATTTAGCCTGTCTCTGACATGCTTTTAGTACGACTGTAAACCACCCCTCTCTTAATGGCACCATATAGAGAAGGTGGCTCTCGGGAGACCCTTGCATCCTGTGTGGCTTAGGCTGCAGTTGGCTGATTTCAGCAAGCAGAGTCTCAAAAAAAAAATTATGATGAGCAAGATTTTAAAGGCTTCCTTGGGAACACAACAGCAAAGTTCTCCTTCAGCCCCAGGGAAGAGACGTGTTTTAAAAATAGCACTAAAAGAGTGAAAACTGGCAGGCTTGTTGTTTGAAATATCATATCCCTTAGCAGATGAGGTATCGGGGAATATAAATGTTTCAGACAGGAAATAGCCATTCCGCACTCCAGTTTAAATATCACACCCGCATCCCTTGTTATGGAGCTTTCTGTTGAGGGCAAATGGTGGGTAAAATGGTACAATTTCTGACTGTAGCCTTTCAGGTTCAGCATCAGTCTAGGTGGAGTGTGAATTTGTCTCCCAGGAAGGCACTCAGGGTTGTTAGCATCAATACAGCATATACTGTGCCACCAATGCTGATGGAAGACTCGGTTGCCAGTCTAGAATGAATGAGAAGATGCCATATTGTATAGTGTGTGGCTTTTGAATGCTTGCTTATGTGAAAAGTTCCTTTTTTATAAGAAAACAATACACAATGGATAAAATTGTATCCAGTCTTCCCCTGTTGTGTAAATCAAATTCATGAAGAGCTGTGTATTGTCGAAGGCTTTCATGGTCGGAATTACTGGGTTGTTGTAGGTTTTTCGGGCTATATGGCCATGTTCTAGAAGCATTCTCTCCTGATGTTTTGCCTTCATCTAGGGCAGGCATCCTCAGAGGTCTGAGAGCTCTTTTCTAAAAGCAGCAACATGAAACATCCAAAAATGTTCCTTACCTGTGATATAATGTGATATACCTCATTTTGTTTAATGTGTAAATAGGGTCTTAAAGGTGTTAGTAGATATACTTTTTAAAGGGGGTGCTAATAATTGTGGATGCGTGTAGCACTATTCAAAACCATTGGGCATGGTTTGATGATTCCCCATGGATTCCAAAATCCGTAGATGATGAAATTCCGTTATATACAATGGTATAGTAAAATGGTGTCCTTTCGGCTCCTTCTATACTACCATATAATCCAGATTATCAAGACAGTAGGCTTGGGTAACCACGGACAAATTTGGTTCCAAACTCGTTTCGTTTTTAGGGGGCCCTTGCGTTTCGTTTTTTTAAAGAATTCCGAAATTTTCCTTTAAAAAAGTTCAAAATATATGAAATTTCATAAAATTACGAATCGATTCGTTAATGGCGGACGCGATTGCGCAATATGCTAAAAAACCCTCCAAATGGGACAGGGGGAACTTCTGAAGCTTCCCTCTCCCTCTGTTGTTGACTGTTGGTGTGATAATTTATTTTTTTATCACTGATAAAACAAACAACTATAAAACTTGCACCAGACATACGGAAATAATTACAAAACAATTACGAAACAATTTTGAACCAATTACGAAACAATTACGAAACAATACGAAATAAATTGGAAAAATTGTTTCGATTTTTAATTACTCCTCACAGTAGTCCTGCATGGCTCAATATTGGATCGTAAGCTAATTTAAATACGAATTAATAACGAATTATGAAATTAACGAACGAAACCGCACAAGCCTACAAGACAGATAATCCACATTATCTGATTGGAACTGGGTTATGAGGCTACGCTGCCATATACCATATTTACTTGGGTAAAAGTATGATAAAAAACCTACAACAACCCAAAAGTATGATAGCTTGGATCCCCCTTTTTAATGTTTTTTTTAATTGTAATGGTATTTATCTAATCCATCGAAATAAACTTTATATATATCCATAAACCATGATATTTTTGCCCCCTTTTTTCCCTCCCACCTCCCTCCAACTTTACAATGATAGCTGGGATCCTATGAACCCTACGCTAGTTGTGCAATGCGCATCAGAATTAATGAAGGGACTGTTCCCAGCCGCTGGGTTGCTTTCTTCGAAGGGTGGAAAGTGTGCTGGCAGTCAGGGAAGGTTTTTACAAGGCCCTAGTGCAAACAGAGCAGCAGGAGGCAGATTCCCCCCTTCCCCTCTTCTTCTGCTTTCCCCTGCCGGCTTTCTGACAGTGGAGTAGTCGGGGCTCCGGGAGGGCAGGATGTATGAGCCGTAGACCCCCTGCTCCTCCCTTGTAGCTCTCACTTGTTGCACTGTCTTGCACACATCTTTCCTTCATGAATTCTGACCCACAGTGCGCAACAAGCATAGGGTCCCAGCTATCATACTTTTGCCTTTACTTGAGTGTAATGTGCCATTGAATCTAACATGCATCTCAATTTTCAAAACCCTGGAACCCCAAAAAGTACTCACCATATTATGCAAATCTAATGCACACTCTAATTTTGGGAAGGTAATTTAGTCATAAAAGGTGAGCATTAGAATCAAGTCTATACGGCACTCCAGTTCAAAGTAGATAATCTGGATTTTATATGGCAGTGGAGAGATGGGGCCTTATATAAAATAGCAAACAAGTCAAATGAGAGCTTTCTTCGAAGGGCGGAAAGTGTGCTGGCAGCCAGGAAGGTTTTCACAAGACCCTAGTTCAAACAGAGCTGCAGGAACCAGATACCCCCCATTACCCTCTTCTTCTGCTTTCCCCTGCCGGCTTTCTGACAGTGGAGGAGCCAGGGCTCTGGGAGGGCAGTATGTATCCTCCCTCGTAGCTCTCCCTGCTCCTCCCTCATAGCTCTCACTCGCTACGCTGTCTCGCGCACATCTTCCCTTCATGAATTCTGACCCGCGGTGCGTAACCAGCATTGGAGTTCCAGCTATCATACTTTTGCCTTTATTTGAGTGTAATGTGCTATTGAGAGCTTTCTTCGAAGGGCGGAAAGTGTGCTGGCGGCCAGGGAGGTTTTTACAAGACCCTAGTTCAAACAGAGCTGCAGGAACCAGATACCCTCCCCCCCTTACCCACTTCTTCTGCTTTCCCCTGCTGGCTTTCTGACAGTGGAGGAGCCATGGCTCTGGGAGGACAGGATGTATGAGCTCCTCCTTCGTAGCTGCGTCTCTAACTTGCTGCACTGTCTCGTGCACATCTTTCCTTAATGAATTCTGACCCGCGGTTCCAGCTATCATACTTTTGCCTTTACTTGGGGCCTTATATGAAATAGCAAACAAGTCAAGTGAGAGCTAGAGAAAGCCCAAGGATTTGTGAAATGGCAGCAGGCTGCAGCAGGGTATGCTTGACAAAATTAAAGTTTGCTTTGGGAGTTTTTTTTTGTTCCAGAATATTTCCAAGCCATGGTTGGTTGAATTCATGGATGCAGAACTCACGGATACAGAAGGCCAACTGTACGTTATTTCAAAGTCAAAACAAATATGTTAGTCTTTCTTGTACTGTCTTCTTTGAGAGAGAAGGTCCATGTTGTTGTTGTTCATTCGTTCAGTCGAGTCCGACTCTTCGTGACTTCATGGACCAGCCCACGCCAGAGCTCCCTGTCGATTGTTACCACTCCCAGCTCCTTCAAGGTCAATCCACTCACTTCAAGGATACCATCCATCCATCTTGCCCTTGGTCGGCCCCTCTTCCTTTTTCCTTCCATTTTCCCCAGCATAATTGTCTTCTCTAGGCTTTGCTGTCTCCTCATGATGTGGCCAAAGTACTTCACTTTGTCTCTAGTATCCTTCCCTCCATGAGCAGTCGGGCTTTATTTCCTGGAGGATGGACTGGTTGGATCTTCTCGCAGTCCAAGGCACTCTCAGAACTTTCCTCCAACACCACAGCTCGAAAGCATCTATCTTCCTTCGCTCCATGTTAAGGTCCATGTTATTTATCTGATATTTCCACGCGGTATCTTTTTTGCTAACTTTTCACTTGTTCTTTCTTTCTTTTCCCGATTAGGTTGTAATGAGAATGATGCAGACCATCTGGACAGAGACCAGCAGCCTTATCCCCCATCTCAGAAGACCAAGCGCATGCGCACTTCATTTAAACACCACCAGCTCCGTACCATGAAGTCCTATTTTGCTATTAACCACAACCCAGATGCTAAGGACCTCAAGCAGCTTGCCCAGAAGACAGGCTTAACTAAGAGAGTTCTGCAGGTAAGAAGCCTCAATTTCAAATCTCCCCAACCCTCCTCCCCACTTAAAAAAGGATGTATCCCTTAGTTTACCTTAAGATATTCAGTGGAAGCTTAATATAGTAGCATCCTTTAATAGATATATAGAGGAGCAAGGTGTTATCATTTATATTCTCAGATATGATCCAAATGCACTAAGGGAATGCTCATGTTTAGCACTTTCCTCTCCCTTCGCTGGTGACAGTTCCCTGCAGGGAAGGAGCATTCAGGATATAAATCTGTTTTGATAGACAGGAGAACCTTTCTAATGAAAATAGTTAATTATTTGGGTCGGTCTCTGAGGTGTAGGATCTGCATTTGAGTCATTCTCTGGCATGTGATAAATCTCCAATGTGACCAGTAAGTAACACATTCAAAATAAGTGGTCACCCTACAAAAATGAGATGTTAAAACACCCTCTTTGTGACTTTTCCCCTGTTTTAAGTAAGTGAATGAATACAGATCCTACCCTCAGACAACGCAATGAATCACACCTTAAAATTATCAATAGTTTCTCATGTGCTAGTTCCATCAAATCTGACAAAAACGTAAACCAAAGGTTTGAATGAATGAGTAAAGGTAGGGGGTGGTCTCAGTGAAGCAATGCCGAAAGAGAATGTGCACAGGCTATGTTCTGAAAGCATGTTGGCAGAGAGGTTTTCTGAATGCTTGTCCACCATCATTAATCTTCTCCTGCAATGTGCAGTTATAGAAGAGTATTGGGTTTGTCTGTCTGAAGGTAGATTGCCACATTGTAGAATTTGGAGATATGACTACAACTTTTAGGAGACATAAGAGATCATGACTGGATAAAATTAGGGAGTAATTCGGTGGGGCTTATGAATTGCCTTAAGGTAGGCATGGGTAACTTTGGCCCTCCAGGTGTTTTGGACTTCAACTCCCACAATTCCTAAGAGCGGGTAAGCTGGCTAGGCACTTTCCCAGGCACTTCCAAGCCATTAAATGCTAATCAAGGTGGTCAGTTGAATCATTCACACCTAGCTCCAGCAGACAAAAGTCCTTCGTCCCACCCTGGTCTTTCCACAGATATATAAACCCATTTTCCTACTTCCAACAGACCTCACTACCTCTGAGGATGCTTGCCATAGATGCAGGCGAAACGTCAGGAGAAAATTCCTCTAGAACAGGGGTAGGGAACCTTTGGCCCTCCAGCTGTGGTGGACTTCAACTCCCACAATTCCTTGAGGCTCGGCATTCGCCCCAAAGGCTTACCTTGGCCCAATGCCGAGCCTCAAGGAATTGTGGGAGTTGAAGTCCACCACAGCTGGAGGGCCAAAGGTTCCCTACCCCTGCTCTAGAACATGGCCATATAGCCCGGACCCCAGTGATTCCACCCATGAAAGCCTTCAACAATACACTGGCTAGGATTGCTGGGAGTTGAAGTCCAGAGCACCTGGAGGGCCGAAGCTTGCCCATGCCTATGTCAAGGGACTACCCTTACCTTGTAACTTAACCCTTAACTGAATATTGTATTCTCAGTCGGTTGCTGTGAGTTTTTTTGGCCACAGATGGAGTGAAACATCAGTAGAGAATGCTACTGGAACATGGCCATATAGCCCGAAAAACTCACAGAAAGCCTTTGACAATATATTATATTCTGAATTCACAGAAGGCAACAAAAGCCGGATCTATACTGCCAAATAATACGGTTTGAATTGCATTATAATTTTATAGGGTCAGGGTAGATCAGTGGTTCTCAATCTATGGGTCCCCAGATGTATTGGCCTTTAACTTCCAGAAATTTATTTATTTATTTATTTATTTATTTATTTATTTATAGCTTTTATATTCCGGCCTTTTCACCCCGCAGGGGACTCAGGGCGGATTAGAGTGTACACATTTATGGCAAACATTCAATGCCAATTTTTGACATACAACATATACAGACATAGACAGAGGCTATTTAACTTTTTCTGGCCGCCAGGGGAGCTGTCGCTTTCATCGTCCATCTGTGACGCTGATATTTATTTGTCGTGTCAGGAGCGACCTGAGAAACTGCAAGTCTCTTCTGGTGTGAGAGAATTGGCCGTCTGCAAGGACGTTGCCCAGGGGAAGCCCGGATGATTTGATGTTTTATCATCCTTGTGGGAGGCTTCTCTCATGTCCCCGCATGAGGAGCTGGAGCTGATAGAGGGAGCTCATCCGCCTCTCCCCGGATTCCAACCTGCGACCTGTCTGTCTTCAGTCCTGCTGGCACAGGGGTTTAACCCACTGCGCTACCGGGGGCTCCTGCGATGCTGATGAAGTACTTCCGCATGCTTTTTGTTGGAGCGCTTCCTGGAGTCTTTTTTTATGGCCTCATAAATTAGTTAATTTAGCCTCCCCACACTTTAAGGTGGTACCTAATTTTCCTACTTGACAGATGCAACTGTCTTTCGGGTTGCAAAGGTCGACAACAGGCTACACAATGGTTGGAAACCCACTCCAACCCGGGCTGGCTTCGAACTCATGACCTTTTGGTCAGAGTGATCTTAATGCAGCTGACACTCAGCCAGCAGCGCCGCAATCCTGGGTTGTTGTTTTTTTTTTGTCGTGTCAGGAGCGACTTGAGAAACTGCAAGTCGCTTCTGGTGTGAGAGAATTGGCCGTCTGCAAGGACGTTGCCCAGGGGACGCCCAGATGATTTGATGTTTTTATCATCCTTGTGGGAGGTTTCTCTCATGTCCCCGCATGAAGAGCTGGAGCTGATAGAGGGAGCTCATCCACTTCTCCCCGGCTTCGAACCTGCGACCTGTCGGCCTTCAGTCCTGCTGGCACAGGGCTTTAACCCACTGCGCTACGGGGGGCTCCTGCGATGCTGATGAAGTACTTCCACATTCCCCGCATGCTTTTTGTTGGAGCACTTGCTGGAGTCTTTTTTTATGGCCTCATAAATTAGTTAATTTAGCCTCCCCACACTTTAAGGTGGTACCTAATTTTCCTACTTGACAGATGCCACTGTCTTTCGGGTTGCAAAGGTCAACAACAGGCTACACACAATTGGTTGGAAATCCACTCCAACCCGGGCTGGCTTCGAACTCATGAGCTTTTGGTCAGAGTGATCTTAAAGCAGCTGACACTCAGGTAGCTGCGCCACAATTTTGGTAAATTGGCTGGGATTTCGGGGAGTTGTAGGCCAAAACACCTGGGGACCCACAGGTTGAGAACCACTGGTGTAGATCAATATCATGTAGTTTAAATCACATGTCTGTATTACCATATGTTGCATTATATGACAGTGTAGATCCAGCCAAACAGGTACTGTAGACAGAGCACTCTGTTACTTGGTTGTTCCATAGGAGCTTCTGCAACGTAAAGGTGCTGCACAGCAGGCTTGCAAGTGTTCCTTGATAGATGGGTTAATGTTGAAAGAGTTTCCTAATGCTAGCAATCAGAAAAAATACTGGTTTTGATTATTTGCCAAAGGGGAAAAAAAACCCCACAGCCCTCACATACACCAAAAACCTTTAAAAGTCAGTAAAACAGGACAGGGAAGGAAAAATTTAAAAGACATAAAATTAATCAATAACAAAGACAAACATTGGTAAAGAAATCAATTGGGATTGGTTTGCAGGTTTGGTTCCAAAACGCAAGAGCCAAATTCAGAAGGAACCTTTTGCGGCAGGAGAATGGGGGTGTTGATAAAGCTGATGGCACGTCGCTTCCGGCACCGCCCTCAGCAGACAGCGGCGCTCTCACTCCACCCGGCACTGCGACCACTTTAACAGACCTGACCAATCCCACAATCACTGTAGTATCATCAGTGACCTCTAACTTGGACAGCCACGAATCCGGGAGCCCCTCACAAACTACCTTAACAAATCTTTTCTAACAATTGACTTTTATATAAAAAAAGAGATATTCTTCTTCTTCTTTTCTTCTTCTTCCTCCTCCTCTTCTTTTTTTCCATTATATTATTATTATTAATATTATTTGCAAGACTTTTTTTTTAAAAAAGAAACAAACCCACAAAATCTTTGGGATAAACCAGCTTGGTGTGTAGCATCTGCAACCACTTGGCCAATGAGTTTGCAGTAACAGATTTCTACAATAAAGCGACAACGGTCTTCAGAATTTTTTTTAACATCACTGCCTAACTAGAGGGAAAGTTCTATTCTACAAAGTGCCTCTTAAAATTGTATATTCCTTATTTCCAGATTTGTTTGTTGGATGGGTGGGATTGGTAACCATGGAAAGGCGGAGAATTGTGTTTTCATAGAAAGCCACTGATTGTTATCCTCAAACCATTGGCACCTTAGACTTAAGGAACGTGTTCTTTTAAGAGAACCACATTGAGCACATATGAACAAACTGCTTTAATATGAGGGGTATTTTTAAGTAAGGTCCATTTGAACATAAGTACACAACAAAAGTTTATTTCAAAAAGTAAATTTATTTTCAGAAAGTACATACTTCACTCTATTTTTCGACATAGTTGCCAAGTTTGTTCAAACACTTATCATACCTCTGAACCAATTTTAAAATACCCTCTTCATAAAAACTTGCCGCCACCAAAAGCCACCAAATTGTCTGTAATCAAAGAAGGGCGACCGGAGCGGTCCTCATCATGGACGTTGTCACGGCCATCTTTGAATTGTCGTACCCACTTACGCACTTTGCTTTCACTCATAACAGTATCACCGTACACTTCACAAATCTGTTGATGAATTTCTGCGGCAGGCAGGTTCCTCTCTGACAAAAACCGTATCACTGAGCGAACCTCACATGTGGAGGGTGAGTTGATAGTCTTAAACATTTTTAAAGCACAGAACAGAACTGTACAGGTTAGCTACAGAACGGAAACTGAGCACAGTTGTTCCTGAGGCATGCCAATACATGACGCACACGCTCTACAACAAATCGGACCTTACTTAAAAAGTACCCCTCGTATACGAGGCTGAAAACTGAAAACTGAACGTTATCATGCTGACAGTTCAGTACCCCTAAATACATGCCATTGTAAGCATCCCTCTGCCACATTATAGGGCTAATTCTGTCATTAAGTTCATTATGTAAATTAGGACTTAAAGGCTGTCCCACATAATTAATAGAAAAGCAGCCAGGTACTTCTATCATGAAAACAGTGACACCAGGTGTATAGCAAATTAGGGTTATTTCTATAGCTGTTGAACATGCACCAGTGTTCTTGTCCTTCTTTAGTTGATAGAACTCTGTTTTCGTGTCCTATTTACTGCACACAGAACATACTGGATTTGCATTCCCCTGCCTCATACTCTCGTACTGGCTGACTTGGCATTTCACATCAGTATCAAGCCACAGGGAGCTATCACAGGGAGCTATCACAGACCTAAAAGAATAAGTACAACCACAAATCTATTTATAAAATTAGGGACCTCATCACATTAAGACTGGGATTCACCCCACAACATAGCAAAATCAGCAAGGCGTGGGGTGGGACGTGGGAAACTCACCATACTGCATGGCCTGCCTTCCCCTTCACCTTATGGCAAAAGTATGATAGCTGGGAGCCTACGATATGCTACTTGCACAACATGGGTCAGAATTAATGAAGGGAAGATGTGCGCAACGTGGGTCAGAAAGGGGGGGCAGAAAAGGGGGGAAGAAAAGGGGGGACAACCAACAGCCAAGCATAGTGCTTAAGGCAAGTGAAGTAATGTTAGAGTTATTTACTGTTAAATTATAAACAACGGCTTACAAAGATGGTAAACGGGATAGAAATGTTTCCTTTGCCCCTTTCTGGTGAACAATGTTCCCACGACTCTGATGCAACTGTGTTTCTCACTCGCTGCATTGCCTCGCATGCGTGTTACCCTCATTAATTCAGACCCGCGTTGCGCAACCAGCGTAGGATCCCAGCTATCATACTTTTGCCCACATTATCCCATGAGGGGAAGTATTGCCACCTGGCTTCCCCCTTGTTTTCTTTGCAAAACAAGAAGCCTCCCGTGTTGCCACCGCTGCCTCCTGCAACACTTCCACTTCAATGGATGCATGGAGCCCTGCCGGAAGTAGATTGTGTGATGAGAGCCAGTGGGCTCTGTGTCTCCAGTGAAGTCAAAGTGTTGTATGATGGGCAATTTTGTCCACCTGATGAGGTCGTAAGTAGGTGATTTGTAGATGATGGATTGACAAGCAATTTTCTAGACTCAAATTGGCTTAGTGAGAGATCAGCCATTCCAAATCCATAGTTTTGAAGAAACATGGTGTATCTCTCTGGTAAAGGAATTAATTGTATCCATCCCCAACCACAGGGATACTAATAGTTTGGGAGGCGAGAATCTCTTGTCTAGAGATCATATATAGAATCTTTGAGGCGAGGGACCAAATGGGCTGTGCATTGTCATCTTAATGACAAATATCCATTTCTTTGGCCTAAGCTTTTTTTTAGCGAAGATCTAGAATTAAGGTTTTGGATTTGTTTTTAAAAAGATTCAGATACTATGGCCAACTTCACTGTTTAAAATATTATATACAAATAACTCTAGCCCCAGTTTCTCCATTTTGTTATTAAAACATTTTAATTTAGTTCCTTGTTTTCTATGTGTATAAAAGAGGTAAGATTTCGATTAATCCAAACCAGTATTTGCAAAAGTGGTTTGCATAATTTTAGACTCAAATTAACTAGATCAAAGATCAGAAAATGGAATGGGTTTGGCTCCAAAGGACACCAGTTCTCCCCATATTGACAACTTGTTCCATCTCAGTAGAAACAGTATATAGTCAGTTAAGTACAGGGATGGTTATCTGGTACTCCAAAGACCAAATTCCACTTTCCCAGGAGCATTATTGGCTTTTATTATCCCTCACAAATTCAAATCAAGATCTAGGACAGTAGTTCTCAACCTGGGGTCCCCAGATGTTTTTGGCCTTCAACTCCCAGAAATCCTAACAGCTGGTAAACTGGCTGGGATTTCTGGGAGTTGTAGGCCAAAAACATCTGGGGACCCCAGATTGAGAACCACTGATCTAGGACCTCATCACATTGAGGTCCAATTTGTGGGTGATAGTGGCGGGATTCGCCATTCAGTGTGGCAAATCCAATAGGCAGGGTGGGAACCTGTAGACCGGCATAATTCCCTTATCCATCCTACGGGGAGGGGTGGTGATGTGTCACCGTCCGGCATCATACACACCCACCTCAGTCTTTCTTATGAGAACACAGGAAGCCTCCGGAGCCTGCCGAATGCCATCAGATGATGCACAGATACTTCCGATGGGGCTCCTTCCTTCCAACATCCTGGCAACATCCTAGGACACTTCCCAGAGAATGCAGGAAGTATTCTCTGAGTACCGTCCTAGGATGTTGCTAGGATTCTGGATGGATGGAGCCCCAACGGAAGTATCTGTGCATCGTCTGATGGCATTCGGCAGGCTCCGTCCTCCCTGTATCCTCCTAGGATGCTAAAAATCTCCAATGTGATGAGGTCCATAGTAGAAACCTTGCTTACAAATTTGTTTGTAACACAATTTGTTTTCAATAGGAGAGAAAGTGTGTGCGAGAGTGAGATAGATTGGATACTTCAGTTACATCTTTCTGTGCCCTTCCGTAATTGCAAAACACTTTCAAAAGTAGTCGGACAGTACAGAATCTGGCTACTTTCTGCAGAATCTGGCTACTACAGAATCTGGCTACTTTCGAAAGAATCAGTCTGCACCCCATCTGTCTTATGAGGGTGGCTTGTGACCTAAAGAAAGGGAGCATCTTACTGCAAAATGAACAGAGAAAGTTGCCCCCTCAACCATTGGCCACCAACAGAATTAGCAGATTCAAGTTGCCAGAGCAAAAACTGTGTTTTTAATGATTGCATAGAAAAAATAATTCAGCAAGAGTTTTGCCCGTTATATGGTTTGCATAGCAAGCAACACATGCTGAATTTTTTTCTTTTATATAGTCATTCAAAACACAGGAGGCTTTACTCATCTACACAGCCATTAAAGATACAAGAGCCCTCCAGCAACCCTATAGATACTATTGGAATACAGAGCAGTTTCACATAAAATGGAAGTTGGTCCTTCTTCTCTCAAATATTCATAAAGGCAAGGCACACGTTCCTCAGAATAATCCCTTTCAAAGGAGTAGACATTTATTTTATTTTTTTCAGTGCAACTCATTATCAGGGGCGGCTCATCCATTACGCAAAGTAAGCGGTTGCAGTACACTTTTTTTTGCCAGGGGCGCAGAAGCGCCTCTGTAAATGCCCCTTGACCACCACTTGAGGAGCGCCCCCTCGGCTCACAACAACCCTAGCAGTCCGGGGGAAGCCTCGGCAACCCATTACGCAAAGTAAGCATTTGCAGTATAGTTGATTTTGCCCAGGGGCACTCTTGAGGCGCTCTTGGGGGAAAATAGACCTTGACATATGCGAGTTGTAGTTACTGGGATGTATAGTTCACCTACAATCAAAGAGCATTCTGAACTCCACCAATGATGGAATTGAACCAAATATGGCACACAGAATTCCCATGACGAACAGAAAATATATATCAATGATTGGTTGGGGGGGGGGGGGGGGAAAATACTGTTTGTTTACCATTGAAAATTACCTAGGGCCGCCTCTGCTCATTATACATAGTGAGCATAATCCAGGTAAATGTCCCATTGGTTTCCCAGGGAACACTAAATCTGCATGCAGTTCTCTCTCCTGAAAATACCTATACTTACTCACACCTATTATGTTTAGAACCAAGGTGCCAGTGAGTAGGATTTGCATCTTATGTAACGTTTGAGGATAATATTGCTTGGCACCAGGCTTCAGTATTATTCAAATTGGCTACAGTCCTTAATATCCTGGCTCTGGATCAATTCCATTGAAATGAATTACTTTGAGCCAAGTAATTTGGAAATCTCAACTAAGTAATTGAAGTTCGAAACCTTTCTGTTTTGGAGTTATTGTCCCCTTTAGATTAAAATCTCAGTCCTTTAACTGTGAAAGGCTTTTAAGTCCCAGGCTCCTTCTCCACTGCCATATAATCCAGATCATCAAATCAGATAATCCAGATTATCTGCTTTGAATTGGATTATTTGAGTCTACACTGCAAGTGGGATTGGCTGGAGCATGTCAGGGGGCAGGAAATGGGTAAAATCACAAACACAATTCTGTCACTGAAACACATGTACGTGATGAAGACAACTTTTAGTATTTTAAATAATTTTCTGGGGAAAATGGAAATAAGAAAAATATAATTTTCAAGACATTTAAAAGCCAAGTTTAGAATATTTTATCCGCCGCTTTCTGGAGCAAACTTCAGATGTCCTCCCCAGAGAATGGTTTCAGCTATTTTTAATGTATTAATAGTAAAATACACCATTTAGGAAATGTAAAGTTTTGACTATGGCTACAGCTGTGTGCTTATCTGCTAGTCAGACCATTTTCAGTTCAGCAGGGCTTGCTTCCAAATAATTTTATTTATTTATTTGCAGCATTTATATTCCGCCCTTCTCACCCCGCAGGGGACTCAGGGCGGATTACAGTGTACACATATATGGCAAACATTCAATACCAATTTTGACACACAACATATACAGACATACACAGAGGCTATTTAACTTTTTCTGGCCGCC